CTCCCGGGCTCAGCACACCCCCACCCCCCCGGGCTCAGCATCCCCACTGACCGCCAGGGAGGCAGCTGGGACTAGCCTCCCCCTCCTGCCCTTCCCAGGCTTCCACCTGCGGATCTCTGCTGTACATCCCAAGCCCTTCTCACAGCCCAAAGGCTCAGTTTCCCCAGAGAAAGGGTGTTTTTGCTTTGCACCCGAAATTGTTTGTAGCAGAAGTTGCACGCTTTGGGGGGGAAAGAAGGAAAAAAACAAGTTGTGGGTCACCCCAACAGCATTTTAAATATCAGACTGGGAAGACATTTCCTAAGCCCAGACAGGATCTCCTAGCTCCTCTCCATCATTCCCTTATACCCCTATGGGCAGGTGTGACCAGGAGACTTGGTCACTCAGAGGGTCTCTGGCCCAGCGCCTGTGGCATAAGCCATCTCTCTACTGTGCTTTGAATTCCTCATTTTAAAATTTTGTGTTATTGGAGGGGGTTTTTTGAGGGGTGTGGGCTTTTTTTTCCCCTCCTTAAACTAGCCACCTCTTTCCTCTGCACACAAGTAAGCACATCAGGGCCTGTGCCCTTCCCAGCCCTTTGAAAGGGACCAGTTTCAAAAACCCCAAGGGAACGAAGAACCCTCTACTTTGGTGTTGGTGTGAGCCTGGGGCACGGCTCCATGGCTCCACAGGCCCTGCTTGGGTGCAGATTGCGCGCTGGGCACACGGAGCAGATGACATTTCCACAGAAATTACTGTGGCACATGGCCTTGCGGCTTTTTGTTCCCTGGGAGTTCCTTGAAAACGTCCTCTTCTTATTACAGTAATTGTCCTTGATCTACGGGAGTAACTTTGCTCATATTGACTCCCATTGTCTCCCTTTAGCCAGAAAATAGACAATCCAATGGCTATTGTTCAACCTGGAGCTGTGCCAAGATTGGAAAGGGAGATAAGAAAATACGTGTTTGCAGCTGTTGTTTAGGCTCTGGGCACATCCTGGACACAGTGCGGGTCCCGGAGAAAATAAAAGTCCTTTCCCACAGTGGGCTTAGCAGCAGTGTCACTGTCTGACCGGGATGCACAGGCAGAGCTGCTGAGCTCTTTGCTGTCGCTCCAGGGACTGAATTCAGGCCCTGGTCTGGCCGTGTGCTCAAGGTCTCTCCTGGTCAATGGAGCTGCAGGCAGGAGCTGGGTTACTTGGCTGGAGAGTGAAACACAGTGGATGTGTTTCCAGCCTTCTCATTGTCCACAGAAACTGGGGTGACTTAACCCCACCAGCTTGACAGCCACGTAGGCAACCCTGAACTTGATTTTGAACCAGTTATATTCAGTATCACAAAAAAAAAAAGTAGGTAGCACAATCTATGGAGCTCACATACTGCTGGATATGGGAACATCCTTCAAAGCCCCTCGAAGTAAACAGCATATTGGAAATGTCTTCCAGCACACTGACAGTGCCAAGGAAATAAAATTTCAGTATTTTTAAAGTGATACCAAAGGAACAAACCCCACATCTTTTAGCAAGAAAGTGACAGGAAGCTTCTAGAGTGTTATCTTCATGTCTGAAAAATTAAAGCTACTTACATTAAACTCAATAACGCAGCTGTGTCCTGGGGAAGTGGCACGGGAAGATTTTGAAGAAGAAACTTCATTTTTGAAGGATTTTAAGCTATGACAAATGCACTCGTTCTGACACCTGATACGTGTGAAAGGGCCCAGAAGTTAAACCCAACAAAAAACATAGGAAATTTCTTTGCCTTGATAGGAACACATCAGCTCTAAGGAATTTGGCTTACATAACACCTGTATGTCAGATAGCTGGCACAGTCCTGACAATGAACACCCCAGACTTTCTTGCCTTACTGATGTGAACAGTCTCACCACTTTGAGGAATGGGATTAAAAAGTCTACAAAGAGCAGCACGGAAGGTGAGAGTCTTTGGAAACCATACACGTTCAGAGTGATACACGACACTAGTCCCAAGATGACAGGGATAAGCAGAGCCATGAGGTGAAAGCAAAGCCTCTACTGAATAGAGTGAGCTGCAGAAGTGTGTCCTACATAAAGGTGTATTTCATTAGTTTGAATTAAAAAAAAAAAAAAAAGAAAAGTATTTCGCTCATCTGACCAAGCTGCTTAACTACCCATATAGTTGTTAGCTAACCATGTGAAAAACACAGGTTAGAGTAAGGCCATTTCGGAGCTTTAAATAAAATGAACCAGGGTTGGATTAATTTAGAGGATAACATAGTACTGGATCAACTAAAAAAAAAAAAATGTTACCATTTAATAAATAATGAAGGCTCTTTGTTTCTCCCTTTTCATAAAATCTAACCATACTGAAGGTGATGTGCTTTTAACAATGTATTAGCAATCACTTAAAAAAATTGTAAGTAGTGAGTGATTTGTTAACACAGTATTAGAATTCACTGCACTGAAGGCATGTTTAATCTGAAATGGCAGTTCAGTCAGCAGTAACACGTAACTGAACTCCACCTTGTAATGTTATGATCCATTAATTGTGCAGTAACAACTGGCACATAAAAGTATTTGTTGCTGCGGCTTCCTACTGACCACCAGCATTCCCTGGAAAGCTGACCGTTTCCAAACTGTCTGCTATGTCCTCAGCAGCAGTGAGCTTCCAAGTTGCCCAAAACAAGGACAGCTTTTTGTAACACAGCTTTTTTCTCTGACTCTCCCTGATGGGGCAAAGGCAAGCTGACCTTTGGCTTCACGTCTTTTGAGGTTATTTTGAGGTAACCACTCTGAAAGTAGTCAGCTTTCTATGGGGCATTATTCTATGGAACTGCCAGAGAAATATTAATCACCAAGAACTGTGGCAAAACCAGTCATTATTGCAGTCATAAACCTACCTTCCACACACAGCAAATACACCAGATGGTAGTGATGGGGATGTATGGAAGAAAGTTGGTACTGTTCCATTAATAAAGACACTGGGGAAAATGGAGGGTCTAACAGAGTGGCACAAATTGTTGCCTATCTCAAAAGTTAGGTCTTTAAAGTAAATTTTCACTCTAATTCACCAGTTGATCTCTTCTTAAATTGTAAGCTAATTTACTAATACTTCTGTGGGGAGACTAAACCAGCAAACACTGATTGAGTTTCTACTGACTAGCACCAATCTCCAAAGCAGGCAAAACCCCAGAGGGAAAAGATTACTTTGTCTAAAAAGCAAACAACTGAAGTAGGATGATCTCAACACTGGGAATCAGCAACTTCTAATTCTGTTATCCCTCAACATATGTTGGCTTTGGGGAAATCACAAAGACCAGCTGATGAAAATGCATGTGTGCATCTGCTGGACTGAAACTAGGAAGTTGCATGTGCAAATCAGGAAGTTGCAAAAGGATCAGCCAACTATACACCACATTATGCACATGCATCCAGAAACACATGTGCAAGTGTGGCAAGGACGTATTGTACATTTTGATATAAGCCAAAGCGTACGCACAGCTCTGAAAAAACAATTAAAAAAAGGAAAGGATACAATTTCCCTACCCATACATACTTCAGTGCTAGTGCAAAGAGCTCTCTGTGTTCTGAATATTTGTTTTTACATCTTTCACAAAATAAATATAAAGAAGCAAGCCAAAGCCAGATCTACCAGAAAGCCCAAGATCCTACTGCAGTGCTAATAGGAAGCCTAACAGGCTGTTAGGTACTGATGCAATTCTTCCTGAAGCCTCAATCTGCTTCCACCTAGCAGCTGTTTCAGTTGGTAGGAGTCTAACGTCCATAATGCAAATAATAAGGAGAAAGTTACAGGAACTGTAAATAATAAACAGCCAGTTTCCTGCAATTATAGCATTCATTTATCAAGTCATGCAAAAATTTACTGGATAAATAGCTATTTATAGGTTGTTGGCCAAGAAGGACCTGAACAAAGCAGCAATTTCAAAGTCAGGAGAAGCAAATAAACCAGGAAGGGACTGTCTTTTGTCTTGCTGTCACTAAATCTAAATTTCCCTTTAAACAATGTAAGGCATGAGGATGTGCTGCATCAGCCAGTGAACTGTACACGCCGCACCACCTACAACCACCAAATCAGTGCTCTCATCTGCCTGTAAAACTGTTTCATAAACACAGCTAGTTAAACCTTTCATCATTCTTGCAGAAACCCTTTCTTCTGACACTCAAATGCAACAAACTATTGGACCCTACTCAGTCATGGTAGAGACCAGTTCTAGGGAGGAAACAAACAGTGAAGGATGTCTTCTCCAACTGATAATACACAATGGTTCAGGAAGAGAAAATAAAACTCCCCCAAGCTAGAGTATAATCAGGACAATAAAATTCTTAAGTTTACAAAAGGAGTTTTGGAGACCAGCTCTTCAACAGCCACACAGTTTCACAACCTTAGCTTTGTATTTCATCTAGAAAACCCCACCATGATCTTTCTAGAACAATGTTCCCTACCAGGACAGTGGGATATCACCTCAGCAGTAATTGTTGGAGATAGAAAGCCTCCAGCATCATCACTTCTCCATGCAGGTATTCTGGCAGGACCTGCTGGTCAAGCTAGCAGGTTTGCTAATCTCCCCTCTTACTAACTTCTGTGGTGATGCACACACATGCTGACAGAAGACAGTCCGCTACTGTGCAACCTTTTCCCACCCTATCTTCATTGTAGCTACTTCCAGCTCTCACCCAAGTACTGCACACAGCATATGAGACAACATGGTCTCAGTATGAAATGTGGGCCACAAGGGTGTTCTGACAGCACTTGACTTGTGTCTCGCTTTTACTGAGACAGACTAGATGAATTTCATATCCCTTAGGCACTAGGGAGTGAGTTTATTGCAATGGTTTAATCTTTTTTTGTCAAGTCCCGTTAAAGGGAATGGGAAACAGTCAAGAACATAGGCCAAGCAGACTTGCACACATACACTGCAGAATTTAGACCGGCACATAACATTTGCACAGCTGAGGAATGCAGTACCCTAGGGGAAAAAGCTCGTGGCCATTTTCCAATCAAGAACCATTAAAAGTATCCTTGAATCCCAGGGCCACCACTGTTGCAGGCTCGTGGAAACACGAGGTGTCTGCAGAGGTGTGTGTTTGGCAGTCTATGGGCCTAGCAAAGCTTATTTGCTGTCCAGAAAAATCCAACATAACAGACCATCAATACATCCAAGCCCCGTTTTTTGCAGTCTTTCCACATTCTGGCTGATAAAATCAATAACGTACCATTTCCACACACAGCGAGCAGTAGCTGAGTTGTTCTGATTTGATGTAAACGGCCCTAAGGGGCTTCTCTTTGGAGCACTTGTCACATGGACCAAATACAACTGCTAAAAAGGTCTGGTCACACATCTTTGCGGTTTGAGAGAGCTGAAAGAGACAGAGAAGAAGGTAAGAGAGCTTTCGAGTGCAGCGCAA